ACGGTATACGCCGAGAGGATCGAAAAGGATTATTTTGCTACTCCACTGGATCGAATACCGTCGTTGATATCGCCTTTAAAGAGAAAATAGATGAAGTAACACTAGAAGAATCGATTTCTTGTGCATGATACTTACCATAAGGCAAAGTATATCAAGATGCAGATAATCGTTGTTGAAGCAATGAACAAATGATAAAATTTTTGAAATAGTTCGTATAATTTTTCGCTTTTAGTAGACAGTGTTTCTTTTTTAATGATGTTACTATAAGAGATCAATGTTAGATTCGAACGACGGACTCTTTATTTTAGCTCCTCATCAATGCATTCTGCTCATTTTAAAAACCGAATCAGTGATTATATCACGTTAACAAGGAAACTATTCGAGACGTCTCCCTCAGTTTGAACTCATATTGGATCCACAAGAAGGTCTAAACGAGATTAGTAAAGGCTTAAAATGGTTCGAGCTGATAGGTCTTTGAAGGTCAGTTATGGTTGCTTTACTGAATTTTAGAGCAATTTTTAGATATTTATCGAACTATCAAATAAGAGTTTCGACCTGAGGTCTTGTCTATAAATAGGTCTGATGTATCTTAGAATACCTTGAAAATTTCAAGTAAAAGAATGCTTCTGTGTCGAGTTATTGACTTTTCAAGGGAACTCGATTTTTGTGCGACGCCTGTAACTAGCAACTATTTTTTGAAAATCGAGTATCTCGACATAGAAACATTTTTTTTAATTGAAAGCTCCATGGTATTCTAAGATACACCAGATCCATATGTCGACAGAATTTTAGGTCGAAATTCAATTATTTGATTGTTCAATGTATATCTAAAAATCGCTCTAAAACTCAGTGAAACGATCATAACTGACCTTTAAAGACCTATCTGTTCGAACTCTTTTAGGCCTTTACTAGTCTCGTGAGAGACCTCCTCTTGGGCTCAATATGAGTTCAAGCTGAGGGGAACACCTTGGATAGTTTCCTCGTAGGTAAATCTGTATTTGAGAATAGATTTTTTTCCACAAGTTCCCTTGTAATCATCACGCAATGTTTATTATACTTCTTAGCTTAATTTGTTTCTACAGTAAGAATAATTCTAATGTATTGCGAGTGTAAATTTTCGAAATTGTTTTAAAAGAGTAATTCCTTTTACAAAGTATGTTGAAAATTTCAAAGTCCGAACAACCACGAAGGCTCCTGAACCATGTACCTTACATCCGCATAACACTCTCGGTGTATTTACTGTTTTCATCTGAATCATCGAAGTTTTCATCATTTTTTGAAAATGGAAATAGTATAGAAATATCTGAAGAGATTGTCACATTCGAAAAATATTCATACCACTCATCACGTATTTGTAGTTCTTCGTCCGAGAAACGTTCTAAAACTAAAAAATAGAAAAATTATATTTTGATTTATTTTGAAGCCTTATTTATCTTACGTGTAAAACTTGACGAAGAAAAGCCGTTAGTGCTGAGGACTAGAATGAGAGAAACACTCTTCAATTCGGAAGTCCGTATTTTATTGGGATTTACCTGCACATTCATTTTCAGAAACTACTTCCCTATGTTTAAACAGCTCCCTGAATTTTTCTATTGCGTGTTCACGCCTCAGCAGAGTCATCAAGTGAATGCATATCAGTAAACTCAAGGTCCAGAATATCTATGCAGAAGCAATGGTAAATTAAATTTTGTCGTTATGTATATAAAGAGAATTTACCCAGAACTTTATTTTTGATATTATTGCATACTTCTTTTCTTCCTTTTCGATCTCAGACAGCTTCTTTTCAAACCGTCTACAAACGAAGCAAAGTGCTGGTATTTTTAATAAAACGGACAGAATAAAACAATACGTACTGTACGTTCGTAGAATATTGCTCTTTCTTGTCAAAATCAAAAGTCGTCTGTACTTTTTTTCGATAGCTAACTTTTACCGTTTCTATTGAATGCTAAAAAACAAATAACAGTTTACGAGATCAAACGCTTGGAAAGAATCGTTGTATTATGTATCTGTAGACGTACCAGTATGCGCTTATCTTCTAATGCCTTCGAATCAAATAGATGCATTGTTACCGATGACTATATATAAATGTAATGTGATCAATAATGTTTGGTCTGTTTTTTGGACTTTCAAAAGATTGTTCTTTGGAAAATAATTCTGCGTTCAATGCAATGTGCACTACTGAATTACGCTAAACTTGCGTATGTTGTGTTTTTTCCAAAATAAAACTACCTAGAAAAAAATCATTTTACTTTTAAAGATAAGAAAAGGGTGAGGGTGTGGGTGAGAGTGTGGATGAAATTGTGAACAAGAGTGAAAAGGATAGTACCCGCGCTCACCACACCGACACCCACACCCGTACTCATCCTCACACCAGAGCCCTGACCAAACACGAGTCTTGACTGAGCCCGAGAGTCCCAGTCAGGGTTCGGACTCGTTACATCTCTAGAAGTGGATGATCAACTGACTTCATACCTCACTTCTATTTTTATGTATAAAACTCTATGAGTATATCAAACACAATATTATTATTTTATTAGTCATAGTATTTTTTTATATAATGGAGATGGTGATCTGTATGAGATAGATGGATCTCCGTCTTATCTCAAACCACAATAGTCAAATAATTCCACAAGACTTTGTTTTCATATCCATTAACCTGCTCATCTTTTGTTCATTTGATTTTGATTTCATCTGGGAAAGTCAATTAATCCTTTTTTTTCATTTGTTATCATGTGATATGATGAAATAGATTTCTTTCCTTTCCCTTGTGTCTGATTCTCATCTCAAGATCTACAAATAAATTTGATATCGAGAGAAGATTTCAGCAATGTTCAACTTTTTAATCGTTTTTGAAACTATGAATCGATACCAACTCAGATATCTACAATACTGTCTATCGGCATTTCAACTTATACTTTTAAACTTAAAGTACACTCATTCTTCAAGCCACAAACAATCTCCCATAATCGCTGTAAGAGATGAGAACCATCACTTTTGAATATAATTGTAACAGAAATTCCTGTCAAACTCTATAATCTATTATTTCACTCCCTTTTATTCAACTAAAACGCTAAACGAATAATATCATTTGTGCAATGACCAATCTTTGAAATGTGATAAATAAGAGTATTTACATGATGGTTCATTGTTGAGAATCAGAAAAAGAATAATAATAAATACATAAATATCCTATATCGATCAACAAGATTTTGTTTTTTGATAAATCACTCAACTGGTAAAATAATCTTCCTCTTTGCCTTCGATGAAACAAAATAACACTCGTTGTAGATTTTCTTTCTACTTATCTCTCTCTCTTTCTCTCGTTCATTGGTTCCTAACTAACACAGAAAAAGATAAAGTAGTGTTATAGAGAAGGTTTCGTCATAGATAAAGCACATCATTGATTTCGGATCTGACTAATGAACAGAATTGATTATTTAATTTAACATTTTCCATTGAATTTGCTCGTTTTCGAAAGTATAGAATGGAATTTAAACTCGACATGATCCTTTTCTTTTTTTTAATTTTATAGAAAAATCTATAATTTTAGTGAAGAACATGATGAAGATAAAGAAAAATTGAACAATATTGATGTCAATCATCAGTCGTGTTTTTAATAAAAATACGATATTAAAAATCATCGTCAACAAATGATTGACGTCAATCAATAAGTCATGATTAGTTTGATATTTTTTTATTTGAACCTGTCAAATAACCTGCTTCGTCAGGACTCACTTTTAATCACGTTCCTTGTTTCTCTATGCAATAAATATTTTGTAACAGATATATAAAGAGCAGAATTGTCCATCGCGATACAATGTCTTTTTCTAAGAGACATGAAAAAGGCGCATTAATTGAGCTCGAAATTCAATACATGCAAAAACAAAACTCTGAAGATGGATGTTTCTTTCAATCAATCCGACAGCGACGAATTGTCAATCACAATGGATGTCTTTGATTAAATTGATGGATGAGGATGTGGATGAAAGCTGACTATACTTTCCACATCTTTGTTCATGCGCACGTACTTACACCCTTCATTATATACAAAATATTCTTAACTAATTTGAAAAATATTTATCTTATAAAATAACTGAAAATCAATAAAGTTTGATTCTTCGAAGAATTTATTACTATGTTAAGACTTTATTTATTTGCTTTGTTTTGTTTTATCACAAAAGTCAAAATACAAAATAATTACTGGTATACACACACACACACACAAAATATAAATATATTTATATATATTACAAAAAAAAAATTAGAGAAAGACTAGGTATTTGATTTCGAGTGCGTGTGAGTGTGGATGTGGGTGCTAGGTGAATAGAGTATCCACACCCACACCTACACCCAAACAATGAAATCTGTGTTCGTCGAGCAATTCCATTACCATTTAAATAAATATGACGATACATTCTGTAATCAGTAGATGAGGAATAAATCGATGTTTGTTTTTTTTTGATTGTGCATCGACCATGAATAAACAAATAGTTTATTTGTACTCTTAGTATATATCTTGAGCACTTATCAATTCTTGAAGAATTAATATTTATCTAACGATAATACACATTAATAGAATATGATTGATTGAACAAAATATCAATACATCTTGAGAGCATGAGTGTGAATATAATATTTTCATTCCTTAAGCACATTCCTGTCGAGCAAGACTTTTCATTTACTGTAATGGATTAGAATGCAAATTCAAAAACTTACTCATTTTTAAACTCTATGCGAAAAAATAATATAAGTATTATTGAGCATGTTGGTGTGAATGTGAGTTGAGCAGAATGCCCACATCCACATCCTATCCTTATATATTCTGTAAATTTTAATAGTTTCCGATGGATCCTAAACATCTTGGCAGTTACTGGGAATCATCAGAAATTGCATTGCGTCTTGATTACTTTATTAAAACCTTATGAAAAAAAATTTTTACATCCAAAACTTAGTCCATGTAATGTTCAATTGAGAGAAAAAAGATTGTATAAGCTTCATATTCACGGAAAGCTCAGTAGAAGATTATCCATTCCATACTGTGTTCCACTTCCACCATAAACATTTGGATTTTGTATTCCCCCTGCCGTTGTAAATACAACTTTGTCTATTCCTGAATATCCAGTGAATGCTATATTGGACAATGTAAATACTTGAAGTATAAAAGTACTGTTTGCAACAACGATATTTGAACGATATCCAACAACCGTTAATTGCAAATTATCATACCATGCTGCAGCCATTGAAGCAGAATATAAAGTAAAAGGACGACCGTTGGCACTTATCATAGTCATCGGATCACCATATGCGTTAAACGATGTAACATTTCCGCTGACAGTAGATGTATTGTATCCACTCGCATTGTATAAATAGGAACTGACGAAGGCAGCCCCATTTGTCCAACCAATACATGTATTATCATAACTGTTCGGTATGAATACGTCTGGCCCGAATGTTAGATCATCAAATGTTAAAAGTACACTGCCAGTTGCACATCCTACATGTTAAATTATTAAATTAGCAAACTATATACAGTGCTGGCAAAAATTATAAGAATCGCCCGTTTTTTAGTTTTTATATATATTTTCATCGAGTGATAACGAATAGTAAGCCTGAACATATGTATTTCAATATGCTCTTACCGATGGTGTACTCAGATTTGGTCTTTTTTAATTTCATGTTTTTGGAAAATGGAAATTTATTAAAAATCACGTTTGTAGAAACAATACGAATAAAATACTGATCAGACTCAATGTTTTATGTGTTATAACAAAATATAGATGAGCACACTTCTTACAGTCGACCATTAGATAGAAGATAATTTTTGCTACACACAAAAATATTTTCGTGTCCTAACAAATATTTTATTGGCTATCAAGCGCTCGTGCAGATTACGCGGCTGTTCTTTCTTTTATTTTCTCTCTGAATATTTACTGCTAGCCCCGGACTCGTGAACTTTAATCGATATCAGACATCTTAGATACCAGTGGTTTGGATGTGAACTAATCTTTCCATTAGCCGCATTCACACCCACACCCACCCTCAAAGAATTCTTATCGAAATTTTATTGTTATAATACCAGTTGAATAAAGATGAAATAGCGCAAAAGAACGAACTTTCGTTTTCTCTATCACCTCACAAAGAAAGAAAATTCTCTCAAGCACTCTATAAGAAAATAAGGTAGCTTTGCGACTACTTTTGCGTACTTCTAAGTATATTTTAGACTTACCAGATGTCCCACTAACACTTGTCGTACTGGTTGTTGTCGTCGTACTAGTTGTACTAGTCGTACTAGTTGTACTAGTCGTACTAGTTGTACTAGTCGTACTAGTTGTACTAGTCGTACTAGTCGTGCTAGTCGTACTAGTCGTGCTGGTCGTTGTCGTATCTACACATAATTATAAAAATATATTTGTCAATAATATAAACGTTTGCGGAGGGTTCCTATTTGATGTAGATGACACTACTGTGTCCAGATAAATTACTAATGTCGAAGATGTTGTTTAGATCAAGGGAAAAACACGAATTTTTTGGAACTATAGAAATACTGTTGGATATTTTTGGATCCACTTTTCTCTCTTGGACTTGCTCATTACCTAGCTTTTTTGAAATCAGAATTCCAGCTGTAATTCCACCTCCCACTAATAACAGCAACAATAAACCCAAAAGAATGCAGCACAATGGTGAACAACAGAAACCTCCACATCTAAAATGGACAAATATTCAGTTTAAAGAGAATAATTACTTCATTAGAGTGAGGGTGTGGGTGTTGTATGCTCCTTATATCCCCATGCATACACACTCCCATACCCTCTAGTAGTTTTCTTTTCTCATTTTTTTAAATGACTAATCTCTCGTTCATCTTCACGTACATATTGAAGGGATTTAGTAGGTCGCCAGTGAATTTGCACAATAAAATAGAAAAAAACATACCGACGTTTTGAAGGTGGTGGTTTAGTGGGATCTGGTTTGCAAGAGACGGGCGATTCTGGAAATTCCAACGGAGCAATAACTACTGCAATTTCTTCAGTTCCAGCCATTTATTGTCACTATTCTCTGATTTTTATCGAATATATTCAATTGTCAGCTTTTTCACTTCTCTTTATATACATTCGAATTTCAATGCAGAGTAGTATAGTGTCTGAAATGTTATTGTCTTTTTTTTCCAAGTAAAAAAGTATTTGTTTGTATTTCAAAGCAAATGAATAATCGATTTCATACATTAGTCATTCTTTTGTGTACATTAGTCTCAATCGCTCTAAACACTGAAAGGTGATTGGAAGATTTTGTCGTTGAAACATTCCAACCACTTTGGTCCTTCCCCGTCTCAAAAATTTGTAACTGCGTCTTAAGGGTATGTAAGTAGAATAGAGAATCTTACGTGTTTTGTTTGTTTGACGTCATAAAAATAAGTGAAAGCAGAGTAAGTTGGAAGAATACTCTTTACATTCTGAATATATATATATAGTGAGTGATTTAAAAGATTTATTTCATTTAGCAATGATACAATCGTGAGTATTTAATATAAAGGGTGCGGGTGTGAGTTGAATAGAGTACCCACATCGAGACTTTATATTGTATTTTTCAATGAAAAACCTTACTTCATTTGCTTTTCTTCTTTGAAGATAATACTAATACAACAACAGCAAACAAGTAACGTTTAATACCTACACACAATAGTCAACACATTTACAACCATCTAAAATAATAATGGGAACTACTATTTCAAAACGACAATCTTGCGTCTCCGTAACACAAATCGACTATGAAGAAACAACAGTATCAACCCCAGTAGCTTCCAACTATAGAACACATAAAATATCTCATTCTTCTCAATCTCAAAACGGTGAGAAAATCAAATGTGTGTTTACTGAAAACTAGATTTTTTAATTTAGTGAAACGTGACGACAAACAATACTTGCATGATTCACTTCTGATGAGTATTATACCCTCAGGTAAATATACAACGAATGATTTAAAACAACTTAATCAACTATTTATTTATTGGACGATGGTTAAATTAATTATTATTAATTTTAAATGTGAAAGAGACGTTCATAAAGAACTTTTGAAAAATTTAGCTGAATTTTCTCGTAAATATTATTTGAATAATACAAATGAATTAAAACTGATTGATGAATTTGCACAAAATTATCATGGACATACACCGATTTGGTGGTATACAATGACTAATTTTATTCGTTGTATGCTTAATCAAGCATTCGAAACCAAAGATCTTGAAGTTTTTATGAAAATGGCATTTTTTATAAAAGATCTTTATCAACAATTAAAATTTTTACAAATGAATACATTAAAAACAAATAAATTACCGATAATTGTTTATCGAAATTATCAAGTTACAAATGAAGAATTGGAAAACATTAAAAATAACAAAGGAAATCTTTTATCATTTAATAATTTTATCATAGCAGATTCTGATCATGAGATACAGAGTCATTCGAATAACCTCATGATTAATATTTTATTTCGTATTAGAATTGAATCGAAACGTACATCAACATCTTTCGCTTCCTTTCAAAATGACAATGATTCTGGTGATGAACAGAAATCTTTTATTTTTTTCATGCATAGTATATTTCGTATTGTTGATATGAAACAAATTACAGAACGATCATGGGAAGTAGACCTTACGTTAACATCAAATAAGGATGAACAAGTAACATGTCTTACTGATTTATTACGACATGAAACTCGAGAAACAGTTGGTTGGTTAAGACTTGCACAATTAATGTCTGTTATAGGCGATTTTGATCAAGCAAAAACTATTCATAATAAAATATTTGAATTAACACCTGAAAATGATATATCGACACGATCACGTATTTATATTGAATTAGGAAATATTGATAATGAATTTGGAGATTATAAATCTGCAAATACACGTTATGAAAAATCAATCGAAATCCAACAGCAACAATCTTCTAGTCATCATCTACTTCGTTCTTCTTATAATAACTATGGTGAAGTTCAAAGGCAACTAGGAAATTATTCTAATGCACTTTCTGTGCATAAAAAAACTTTAAAAATGAAAAAACAATATCTTTTTCCAGATGATTTATCATTAGCTATTACTTATAATAATATGGCACTAGCTAGTGAATCACTTGCTAATTTTGCAAATGCATCGAAATTTCATCAACAAGCACTTTCAATTAAAAGAAAGACTCTTTCATCTGATCATCAAGAGTTTGCGATTGCATATAATAATATTGGTGAACTTCAACGATTGATGGGAAATTTTTCTCTAGCATTACAATATTTTGAAAGAGCTTTATATATTCGTTTGAAAAAATATTCTACTAGTGATGGACCAGTAGCTATTCCTTATAATAATATAGGTCGTATTCATTGGGAACTAGGAGATTATTCTCTAGCAACATCATATTTACAAAAATCACTTGATATTAAATTAAAAACATATTCATGTAATCACCCATGGTTATGTTGTACTTATAACAATATTGGTGATGTTCATCAACAGATGGGAGAATATGCAAATGCACTTTCTTATTATCAAAAAGCACTTGAAATACAAGAAAAAGCATTTTCAGAAAATCATCCTGAAATAGCTATAACATATACAAATATGGGCAGGACTCATCGATCTTTGGCTAATTATCCAACTGCTCTTTCCTACTATCGAAAAGCAATTGAAATTCAACAAGAAACACTTTCTAGTAATCATCCATCACTTGCAATATGTTATAATAATCACGGTCATGTATGTCAATTAATGGGAAAACATCAAACTGCATTGGAATATTACCAAAAGGCACTTGAAATTCAAGTAAAATCTCTTCGTGAAGGTCATCCATCGTTAGCTGCGACTTGTAATAATCTTGGAGATGTGGAAAGACAATTAGGAAATTATACTAAAGCACTAACATTTTATGAACAATCACTTGATATTAAAAAGAATTCTCTTCCATCTTATCATCCAATATTGGCTAGCACATATAATAATATAGGTGTTATCTATCAATCAATAAGTAATTATTCAACTGCACTTGAATATTATCAAAAAACACTGGAAATTCAACAAAAAACTCTTCCCTCTCATCATCCTGATTTAGCTGTTTTCTATATTAATATAGGAGCTTATCATCAGTCAACGAAAGAATATGACACTGCACTTGAATATTTTAACAAAGCATTAGAAATTCAACTGATAAGTCTTCCAGCTTCTCATCCTGATATTGCTGTTACGCATACTAGCATAGCAACGGTATACGTAAATCAAGGAGATTATAAATCAGCTTTAAAGCATGAACAAAGTGCTGTTGATATTGCTAGTAAAACCTTTGCACCCGATCATCCGAAGGTCCAAATGTTTCAAAGTTATCTCGAACAAATACGTGCGAAAATAAAATAAATTAAAATAACACAATCCGCTATTTATTTCATTGTTCTTCGATACAGGAATTTTTTTATAGCTTTTTATTATGATCCTATAAAACTTTAAGAGTACGTCTCTGAGAAATCCAGATGATCGTGAAAGTTCGACCTCTCAGATTTCGCTGATTTTTTTATATGTTAGAGGTACTAGTGAGGTAAGTACCAGGTAAAAATTTTAGCTCGATCGGATCACTTTTTCCTACCGAAAAAGTCAATACACGAGCAGAATTTTTGATATTTGTCAATTTCGACTTTTTCCGATTTTTTTTGATTTTTCAGGGATTTTCATGGAATATCCTTGAACAAAGGTGATTTGTTGATGCGATACCTATCAGAAGCTTTGATGAATCTCGAAAAACTTCTTAAAGATCAATAAAAACTTCAATATTGCTTGTCTCCCTAGATTTTCGGATCAAAATGTGGATCATTCCTATATTACGCGCCAACAAGCAAGCGCCCTAATATTTATACTGGTGATAGAGGACCCCAAGGTCTATCACCTAGAATGCCCAAAAGTTTTGGCTCTTCAAAAAAGTTAGGCATTTTTTGAAAAATGCTGATATACCCTATATACACGCTGTATAACCAATTTCTATAGTTTTGTTCCACTAACTTAGGTACTATACTATGGTTTGTCATCAAGATTCAACTAGAATATGATTCTAGTAAGTCTTTGTATCGTTTACTATCATTATTTCAAAATACAACAAGAATAAGAGTGAGTAGACTTGAAAGCAAATGAAGTTCTGCATGTATGGAACTGTTGCGGTGATAAGGAATTCGATACTGATCTAATTGAATGAATCCGACTTCGTATTTTCTATTTCTGTTTTCTATTAACCCATGTTCCACGTTTTATCTCTTTCGAAATTTCATAAATCAACAAAGTATTAGATCTCCTAGCTTTTTCAACAACTGCAACTAAGCAACATTAAACATATGAAGGCCATAAATCTAACACTAAAACACCTGCCTGGGAGCCAGGCGGACCTCAGCATTTCATTTAATATTATATACACAAAATGTCAGAGTCAAATCACGTTTCTCTGGATACACTTTAGCGAAAAGTAGTAGAGTATGCTGCTAACGTTAGTCATTCGCTATTCTTATTTATTTATGTGATGAGCAACGTTGAAGTACATATGAATACTTGTTGCGTACCTGGGTTCCTTCGAACCTCAGTGAGATTCAGTTTAATGTCTTGTACTCTTAACTTTAGCCCCAAACTTGTCTTGCAAGATATGTGTTGATGACATTTAGTAGAATATACTGATAACATCAGTCAACCAGATCTTATTGTTGCTAATGCGAAAAATCACCTCAAAGTACTCATTGATGCTGTGTGTGCGATACACGATCCGAAACTTTCGATAAATAGAATATGTCAACAAGGTACAAAAAGACTGAATAAATATTGTTCACGCTAGTTATAATTCTGTTTGTTCTTCTTGCAGTTTAATCTTCTCTAGAACTACTGTAGTTCCCTAATAAACCAATGACAGTTTTATATTTTAATTGTCTTTCATGAACCTGGGGTCCACACACGTCCACAGCGGACAATAAGTGATAGCCGTATAGGTGGACAGTTTGGGATTAAGAAAACCAGTAACATCCGTATGTAATATTTTAGAACGGTTTTTGTCAAAAAATATATCAAAATTGGAAAAAGATCAATTTCATGATTAACAGTTGATAGCATCAACATGGCTTATCCAGATGTTATTTATAATAAATAATGATAGTAAACGATACAAAGACTTACTAGAATCATATTCTAGTTGAATCTTGATGACAAACCATAGTATAGTACCTAAGTTAGTGGAACAAAACTATAGAAATTGGTTATACAGCGTGTATATAGGGTATATCAGCATTTTTCAAAAAATGCCTAACTTTTTTGAAGAGCCAAAACTTTTGGGCATTCTAGGTGATAGACCTTGGGGTCCTCTATCACCAGTATAAATATTAGGGCGCTTGCTTGTTGGCGCGTAATATAGGAATGATCCACATTTTGATCCGAAAATCTAGGGAGACAAGCAATATTGAAGTTTTTATTGATCTTTAAGAAGTTTTTCGAGATTCATCAAAGCTTCTGATAGGTATCGCATCAACAAATCACCTTTGTTCAAGGATATTCCATGAAAATCCCTGAAAAATCAAAAAAAATCGGAAAAAGTCGAAATTGACAAATATCAAAAATTCTGCTCGTGTATTGACTTTTTCGGTAGGAAAAAGTGATCCGATCGAGCTAAAATTTTTACCTGGTACTTACCTCACTAGTACCTCTAACATATAAAAAAATCAGCGAAATCTGAGAGGTCGAACTTTCACGATCATCTGGATTTCTCAGAGACGTACTCTTAAGAATTTTTTTCGAAAATTTGAATGTCTGCAAGTCTTTACATTTTTTGGAACTTTTTCAGTTTTTTGGGATTTCATGAAACTCGTATAAGCCATTATATAAAATGAACTTCAGCAGTACTTTGAAAAACAACTAGAAATATTATTAGATACAATGTGCACTTTGAAAAGCTTAGAAGCACGTTTAGAGTAATTTGGAGTTTGCGCAGCGTAACGTTCACTTATCTGGATCCAAGAATGTTTCGGTTCCACTTCTCTTGAAACTGCGAGGCTCTACAAACTATACTTGCAAAAGAAAAACATCAAATATCGAAAATTCGTCATACAGGCAAAACCTGAATGTATCGATAATCGATATCCATATAATAAGTGCACTGTTCGTTCTTCAAGTATGTTTGACTCTTTTGTAGATAACTTTCGATCGTTCTATACTTTTCAATCATTGTCAAGTTATCAGAATTCCAGTGTAATACGTTTTTATTCCAGGGAAACTTGATATCCCTTTCGGGCCTGTTCCAGTAGCCATGATACCAAACATCCCAGCTGTTATGTGGAATCTGATACAGAATATTAAACTTGATAGCTAAGTCGTAGCGAATAAAAAGCAAGTTATTCCAATCATAAGTGCCTAAGAGCACGTAACCAAGCTGATAGGAGAGTAGATCCACCCATGCGGTCACACTGACGCCGTACAAATGATCACGTTGATAAGCATAAACAGATCGATAGCGAGTGTAGTAATGTATTGGAGGTGGAAATTTTTCATTCATTTCGACTAAGACGTAAGCGGGGTTGAAATTAGTTCGAGTTTTATTCGAAAAATGTATGAACAATGATCGAACGATAGTGTAATCATATCCATCAATATCGAGTTTAAAAATAAAGGGTTCATCGGGAACATTATTATCGAAGAAAAGTCGTTGTACTGTGAGTGGTTCTAAAGCAGCTTGTACCTTACGTATATTTTTAGCAGGTAAGTTAATCTGAAGCTGTTTAAATAACGCTTCTGAAAATTCAATGGCTATACCAGGCAAATTGAACTCGGTAAATAACGAATATAAAGGATCGATGGTTCGTCCATCTGCTGCTCCCCCATTCACTATGTAGCGTGAGTCGTTTTTGACATATTCAGTGCCAGAGTAGTCAAGTGTCAACAGATCTCGCAGCTTAAAATCAACATACGGCTTGTTATTTTCTAGTTGAAACGATGTACATTTCATATTCAGCCATTCTCCAAATGAAGAACATCGCGGCTTAGGAATGCGTCCTGATTTCTGCCTATCGACAGAGAATAAGCTTTCGTCGAGTTGATAAAGTAGTTTATCCTTCTGGCAGCCCCATTTAGTTGTTGTTTTTAGATTTAATACAAGAAATTGTCCTTTAAGCCAGATTATAACAAAAGCCACAAATAATAGTAACAAGAAAGCCCATTTTTTTCTGAAAACGGATTGAGCTAGCATCAGAAAAATTAACTTGATTCGCCAAAAGTGTCTGGAATTAGTCATTTAAGTGTAAATATAGAATCCAACTATAGTTTTACAAAAACACACGTGAAAATAGTTTTTCATATCTAAGCGAAACACGATTTTTGCGGCATAATATGGATCAGCACGAAGAGTCGGTTGCGAAATGATAATCCAGTCAGGTCGGTAAACTAATCGATTGAAATCACTTATACCGAAAAAATCTCGAATTCTTTTCAAAAAACAGTCTTTATAGAAAAATAAATCCAGATATGAGATACATTTGTGGACAAAAGTCTTTTCTTCCTTTTTATTTATGTACTATTATACTTTGTATAAAATTTATTACCAAGTAGAGATATGACTTGAGGGTTTTATTGCATTGTGATCTGCATACTATACTGAAATAAAACTCTCAATCCATATCTCTACTCGGCAATAAATTTTATACAAAGTATGATAGTACCATCTTGAGGGTGTGGGTGTGGGTGTGGGTGTGGGTGTGGGTGTGGATGTGGATGTATCTTATTTATCTCACCTGTATCACATCCGCAATCGTCCACATTCTCAATTTGATACTCTTAACAATAACACAAAATATTAGTATTCGACGTTCTGTATGCCTCAATTCTTCTGAATATTTCAACTATATATTTAAGATCTATGTATAACTAATAAAGCTAGTTATTTCACTTTTTTTTCAAATAATTTAAGAGTAGAACTTACGGAAATGAAATTGCTTAGAAGAGACGATTTGAAAAAAAATTCAAATAGCTTGTAAATTTCTGATATTGTTATGTATATGTGATTGTATGTTCGCTTTGGCAAATAATTCATTTCATTGGTTTCATAAACGAATAATATTCGTAACTTTTTTATGTTTTTCCAACTACGTATGCATTTTATTACGAAAAAATATGCACACATTCAAGAGAAGCAATTCAAATATTTTTTTTTGATTAATATAAGTCAACAGGTTGATTGACATATTAATGAAATTTTGAAGAAGAAAAAAAATAGGATGTGGATGGGTGAGAGTATTCTCTTTATCTAATTTCCTCATCCTGGTACCCACATCCACAATCACACCCTTACCCACATCAGTGAAATGGTATCAATCTAAATTTATTGCTATATCTCACTTGTTCACAAAGATACAGTACTATCTATTATTTCCTAGAAGCAAAGTAGATTATGTCATGTAACTCAATAATCAGAGATTGTTGTATTTAACTAATATATAGTTTATCTATTCATAATTACGTGGTCAGACAAAACGTAGAAACTAACGCGTAAAAATGTGCGTTTTTATAAATTTACCTTTCATCAAATTTTGATAGATTTTTTCTGTTATTTCTTTCCTTGAGACTCAACTATAACATGAAAGTATATAATTAAATTATATTATTTTTATTTAAATTTGATATAACAACTAATTTAATCGTAACTATGAATTTTCAGTTTATAAATTCATATCTATAATTAAATTAGTTGTTGGACATATATTAAAGGTATATATATAAATGTAACTTTTAACGTGTCATATAAAATTCATTGTATATAATCGATTTCATTGAATAATTTGTGGGAACGTTTATTAATGAAAAATACATATCAAGTATTAAAATAATTCTGCTAAATAGTTTTTATTGAGTTTAATGTTAAATTATGTTTTGAGATTATTTTTTATATTCTTGAGATAAAGATATAATAGACATTAGTATAAAAACACATTTTATTAGTGAGAGAAATTGAACACCATAAATTGTGGATGATAACTTAAATGATACTTTGTAAATCTATACTCTTCATGCATGTCCAATTTTTAAATACTGAAAAATTAAAAAACTTTAAATTGACATAAAAACATAAAATATCGTATATAAACTTAATAGTAATATTAATTCAGAGTACAAAAAAGAATTTAATTTTAACAAAAAAAATCTATTTCAGACTCAACTAGATTTCATACTGATCTGAAATATATTCATATAAAGTACTATAAAACAGAATCACATTGTATACTTTCTTTTTATTATTTCTACTTTATTATGGAATTTAAATTCTTTTAGTCCTCATGACAATTTTTTCATTCTCATACACACAATAAAAAGCGAGACGCATGGACAGAAAATGTCCTGTTGTGTTTTTTCATTCTATATAAAATTAAACAAACAGAAGAACTATAAAATCGATGTGAATCTTTCAATATTTGATGTACTAAATAAAAACGAATACAGATGAATGCAAAACTATAGGTTTTACGTATTCAATTAAATAGGGTGGGTATGATGAATTAATAACAATTTGTCAGATCTAATTAATGTTATCTTATGAATATTTCCAATAATACTGTTGTATTTAAATCATACTCAAAAGCATTTTTTTCTTTAGTCCAACGATATTAATGATTCTATTATAGATATTACTTTTATTATATATGATTCTAGAATCTAGTTAAACATTTTTGTCTTTTAATTCGTGTATATTTTATTAAACGCAAATGTTAGTATAATGTCTGTATTCAAATAAAAAAACACTCAAAATCATTTTTTGAAAAGTATAGAGAAAACTGTTAGTTGAGAATAAAAAAAAAGATTAGTTTTGCAAACTCATCAATAGCTTGATTATAAAATAAAATAAAATAGTGTCAAGAAAATTGTCTTTAGCGTCGAAGAATATTTTTCATTCGTTGTTGATGTCTTGCTTTTGCGGCAATGTTTGATGGTTTGAACATATTCGTGAACTTTGTGAAAGCAGCATACATTGCCAGAGTATGTATGGGCATGAAAGCAACCATGAGAACTGCTGACATAATTGCAACTGGTTGTTTACATGCATTTTCCTAATATATACATATGTATTTATGTCAGGGATATTAATCATATTTCAATAGAAACTTACGAAATCTAGTGGATAAAAAACAGGAATAGTTGATTCAGTTGTTACGCCTGTGGTAGTCGGGCCTGCTGTTGTTGGAGCTATAATACGAATTAATCAATTATAAAGTACTCTATCAAAATGAAATATTTTATTGAAAATATCATTTCTTACCAGCTGTAGTTGGAGGTGTAGTACTGGCAGTTGTTGTAGTTGTAGAAGCATTCGTACTAGTTACTACTATTCCACTTGTTGTACACTATGAAAAAGTGTAGTATTGAGAATAAAAAATGACAATTTAAATAAACTTACTGCAGTATTGATTGAAGTAGTAGTTGTTCCTAGGCTTGTAACTGTATGAGTTGTTGGTGGAGTAGTGGTTGTTGTAGTTGTACTTGAAAGTGCTGGATTCCAGATATCGAATCGCCAAAATGTTTTATCAGTAATGGCTAACGATTCAGCATCTTTTCAATTACATCGATTTTAATAAAAATATTTAATCTTTTACTTTAACGAAAAAAAATAGACAAAAAAAGCTTACGACAGAATACACTTCCACTAGCAAATCCATTATCCATTGTTACATAATAGGATTGACCAGGTGTCCATGTTATAGTTGTTACAATCACAATTGTATATCCAGTGTAAATAACATTTGGAGAATATCCAGCATCATAACATAGAACTGATGCATTTGTAGTGTCCAAGTGAAAGCAGATATTTGTTCCATTACGAGAAGGACGACCAACTGCATTTGTTGCTGTTTAATTAAAGTAGAGAATAGAGAATAAGAGATTAAGTTAGAAACAAAAGCAAACTATATGTCGGAAAAATGCCTACCTTGTATCGAAAACAACGATTGATTTGAAAAGACAGTACCTATTGGACTTGCTGATCCTTGTACCAATGTGGGACGAATTAAATTTGGTGAGTCATAGCCAACTAGATATGTAATACACCATGGAGCTGATTGTAAACTACTATTGTCCATTGCACCAGCACAAAAACCTTGAGGACCTAATTGTGTTGATGAGGGTGTCCATGTCAATGTCATTACCCACAAACCTGTGATATTATATTTCAAATTCAAAAATTTGCATATTCTAACAAACTACTATCCACTACTCACCAGAACTTGGATTACTAATAGCACTATGTGTCATTCCAACAGGTGAACTAGTGACAAAATTAACAATTGTTTGGCCAGGACAGTATGTTTGTACCTGTACAGTTTCATTGAGCTGAACACCTAAAACATAGATTGTAAATATTAGAAAAGAAAAAGCATCCACTGCACTTACCAATTGGAACTCCAATGCAAGCTAAAAAGAATTAAATAGACAAAAGATAGTATTTTTAAATGTTTAAGTTTAATTTAGAATAGAATATACATTCATACCTCTATTTGGACGGACACCAATAATTAAAGGAGCAGTTGCACATGCACCAGCTGTAATATTGTATGCATAGAATAAGAATTGTATTGGAACTGAACTCATTGGATTCGGGGAGCTAGAGTCATAATAATCTTCGATTTGCAGTGCACAAGCATAATATTTATTAGCAACTGTTAGAGTGAAAGTTAACGTACAATTGGATCCGGTAAGTGTATATGGCGGGGGTAATGCCATACAGACACTTCCACATTCATCATTTCGGTTGTAATTATATGTGGAATTCGAGTTGGACCAACGACATTGCAATATATCAGTACCATCATTATCTGCCATTTGTACAATATGAACTACTGGTACACCTCTTTGGTAAAGTATACATGGTAATGTAGTTGTAACAGGACTGGAATTGATATAACCATCAGGTCTCGGAGCTAGATTCATTCGATTGACAATTGCCCATGCACCACTAAAACCTTTCCAGAGTGTAGTCATCCATGCACTTCCTGTATAGCCAATTGTAATTGATGTTGTCAAAGGCATTGTCAAAGTATCGTAGCGTTCACCACCCCATGATTGAATGATCGAGCTTGTATCACAATCTGAAGTTATCATATTGGCTGAAAGTCCACTTGTAGGATAATTAGAACTTGTGCAGTTTCTTAAACAGAGCAAAGTAGCACCGGATACATTAATAGGTCTTTGGATAAGGATATCTGATTCGAAGCATAAAGGTGCAGGAAAACTGCCCCATAATCTATACCAAAAGTATCTTTGATGTAAAAGAATCTGTGTAGACGTGCCCGTTACTGTATTATTTAACGGACGCCTAAGAAAAAGAAGAACGTAAAAAGTAAAATATGCAAGGTTGATTAGAAGAACAAGCATTATTTAAGTATACTTACCATGAAATGATACCACCACGAAAATGATCACCATCAATCATACAACATAGTGTATATAAAATGAAAAGGACAAGGCGTAAAACCTGTTCCATAATGTTAGTGGACAACTGTTGTTTCTTCTTTGTGTAATGAAATACACGATCACACAGCAAACTGAGATTCAACGTTTATGTTTTTAGAGTGAATATAGAATGAATTTTGTTTCTTCTTTTATACGTATGTGTGTTTGTCCTCAGAGTTTACAAAAAAACTGCATTGATAATTGATGATGAAATGTTTGCTCTTGAGATGAGAGAAAAAAAGAAATTTTAATAGATTATTTCGCAACATAGATGAAAGAAAAATCAACCAACAGAGAATATTATATTTTTGTTTGTTTTATTAAAATCCTTCTCTCTGATTTTGCAATGAGTAAAGAGGAATGAGATTTAAATGGTAACCAACACACAAATAATTTTAAATCTACTGTTGTTGTATTGTTTTGATGACGTAAAAAGACAGGGTAGTATGGGCGTAGTTTAATATAAATTTCTGACACATATCAATATAGATATGTACAAATCGTGAACTATTCGCAAGATTATATCAACAGAAAATAACTTATTGAGCCTACAGACAGAAAAATAGAGACGAAAAATAGGTTAAACTTAGATTTTTTCGAGTTTATCATAAAACTTTGAAAGTTTTCGAAAAAAATCTCCAAGATTTGGCAGAGAGCGAGGTATCTTTTCAAATTTTTCTGACTAGATTCTTTAAATTATTGACTCAAAAGTCTTCTTGCTGTTCTAACAAAATATTTCATAGTCGCATGGCTCTTTGGTAAGAAAAAGTCTCTCTCGAAAAGGAATATGCTAGATATATATAAATTCTTCTCTTAATTATTTTATTACTAGGAAAAGAAGGGTATGAATTGAAAATTGATCAAGACTGAAGTTAAATGCTTTCTTTATGTTTCAATCCAAAGAAAATCTTTAAGACGTATAAACTATCGCGATGTTGATAGGCATTAACAACATCCAAAAAAAGTATAGCAACCAAAATGTTGAATGAAGAAAGATGCAAACAGTTTTGATAAGAAAAACAATTGTTACATAGGTACTTTTTTTTTCTTTTCTGTTTTATATTTCTTTCTTTTTCTTTCACTCTGTTTTACTATTATACATATGTGTTCTTTGTATTCTACCACTAACGTATTTTTGTAATGGATATCTTTTATAAATAAGAAGAATAATTATTTTAATTCTTCTTATTGTTCATTATCTTAAACAAAAGTGGAGAACCTTCGGGGACTCTTCCTTGGTTTATTTCGCTCACTAATAAATACTTCATTTTTTTAAAATAAAATATTCATGATTTCATCTCATTTTTTGACACATTTCTAACTACAACGTTAACAAAAATCGTCTATGAAAAATCCGTCAAGAATTGCGTAGTAAACCATTCGATTATAATTATTTTAGTTTATTTATTAAGAAGAAACACAATGTGTAATATGTTGAAAACTGAATACTAAAATAGGAATGAACTGATAGCATCAAACTGACTTTTCTTCATAATTAGAAATAAGAAGCCATTTAATAGTTTTCCAATATGAATATCTTTTTTTGTCGTATGATGTATTAAAAGTTATTCTTTTTTTCAATATAACGTGAGCGAGAGTGTGAGTGAATAAATGAGACTGACTGTGATTTTACTAGGTTTGTCTCTAGTAGTCAACCATACTCATGTTCACGAAATTTTCGACGTTTCAGATCTATTGCGGTATTCTGCAAAACATTTACACATTTTACTTGTTATGGATATCGTTGATTAACTTTTAATTTGTATTTCTTTGTATGAGAAATATGAAGATATTTTAGTAAATATACTGTGAACATCAATTCTAAAGTTTTATTCACTTCTCTTGATTAATATATCATAATACTGATTGAAATTCACCTGCTTGATTTTGGGATCTAGAATCTCACACTCACATTCATGGTCCTAATAAAGCTGAAGTATCTCAAACATGGTTCTCGTGTATTTTTGTAAGCATAAATGGAAGAGATGGGTATGAATGCCAATATATTTGATTACGATTGAGATGTGATGCAGTTATATCACAAGTAACGCTCGTCTAAGGACTCGCTTAGCTCTTTCTCGTAGAAATGGTGTTCTCCAATGCTACGGGACCTTTTGCCTGTATAACTTGCAAACACTAACATCAGATTCGTGTTCCCCGACCTCAAAAACCACTTCGTCAAATTTTCTATAAAAAAGACTTTTTTTTGTAAAAAACCCAGGAGAAACAATCCTAACTAACGGATTCCGGTCCGGCTTTCGTCGGAATCCGTTACAATCCGACAGAATTCGGTCGGATTTTCGACGGATCCTGTAGAATCCGAAGGTCGGAATCCTTTAGTTAGGATTCTGGTGAAATTTCGACGTGTTCCGATCGGAATTATATGGAAACGACGGAATCCGGTCGGGCGTGATTGACCTGGGAAGGGTCCTTTATCTAAAAAAAATTTTTTTAAAGAATTTTGAAAAACTAACAGCAGATTCGAAGTCCCTGCATCGAAATACCTCCAGAAATGTCTTTTTCGAAAAATCATTCTTCGATGCTTTTTTGACCCTGCGGACATACAAGCAAGCAAGCAATCAAACTATTTATGTTTACTGGACTCTCCTCTACGAGAAAGAGAATTACAGTTCCAGCATTAAAAAGACAATCAAACTTCTAATAATATCTGTAGATCAGACAAACATCAGTTTCAATTTAATAAAACATCTACTTTTGAGCAAATCACCATATTCCTTATTATAAATATCTATTCAAATAATTATTTCATGAAAAATCTTTAACTTAAGAAAGCTGCTCTTGTTTTGTTACGAATTCCTCGACTAATTTGTGCTTAAATTAGTCTTTGTCATCCTATTCAATGCAATTTACATCTCACAAGTTTGTTGATGATGAATTAACTATTAGAACGATGGTGGTTAATTGATGAGCTATAGTTTATGCGAAATGTTTGAACAGAAAAGATGAATTTATAATCTGAAAATAGATGAAACATGTTTGGTAGAAAAGATATTTAATATATAAAAGAGAGTATGGGTGTGAATGTGAGTGTGGATGGGTGTAGCTGTAAGCGAAGAACGATCATGCCAATCGCAACCACCTACACCAACCACACACACACACACACACACATCCTCAGCCACCCGCACCACACTTACGCTCACTCTCAAGAATCCTCAGTCATTCGACACGCCAGTCAAATTGGAAATTTTAAAAGAAAAAACTCATGTTCTACGCCTTCTCTTGTAACGAAAAGCATATAATTGGAAATTTTCACTGATAACCTGATATTTCATCGTCGAAAAGTTTCTTATCAGTTACCAACAAAAACATGCACAGTCACTTACTTTCTCCAAGTGGAGTGTGGGTGTTGATGTGGGTGGGTGTGAAAAGAAGAAGAACACAATACCTACATTTACACTTACACCCACTCACACCCACCACTCATCTTTAACAATTTGAGTCTAAGATGACCATGTTCAGTGGGAAATCGTTTCTCAGGAGAGAGCCTCAAAATAATTTTCCCATCGATTATGTCGATAAAAAAATAATAAGCACAAAAAGAAAGGTATACTTGATGTGAAAAAAACCCCTAACGCTTCATTCGATTACGTGAGTGGAAAAAACCATGTTGAGGTTGATTATTCTTGAGTACATTTGATAAGAAAAAAATAAGGTAGCCCTGCCAGAGAAAAAGAAAGGAAAACATTTCTTTTCTTACTACTGAGGCTGAGAAAAAACCGTTTTATGTTGGTAAAAAACATCCATTGCATAGGCTCGTTTGAGATAAGTTTTTTCGATATAACTATATAAATATTGTTTTGGTTTGGTCGTAATGACATTCTACATTCAGTTTCTGTTGAATAATAAAAGGTAATGAATTGCAGTCAATTAATTGTGTGGCTCGATGACAATGCTAATGATCCTGTGAGTAGTTTTCGTACTAAACTAAGTCAAGATCAACAACAATGCGTAAAAGTCTTTGCTGAAATCAATCAATGTATTACATTTCTTGAAAATCATGTCAATGAAACAATATTTTTTATTCTTTCTGGTTCATTTGGTTCAAAAGTCGTACCATTAATTTATGATTATGATTATATACATCAAATATATTTATTCTGTGGTTCAATATCTAGTCATACTAGTTGGGCAATAGATTTTACAGATAAAATGTTAATATTTGAACATGAAAATGATTTATTGCAAAGACTTTTCAAAGAAATAGAAACATATCTTCGTCAACAAGCAGAACAATATTTGAAACAAGCGAATTTTTATAAAGAACGTTCACAAGTATATAAACAAGAAGCATGTGGATAAAATATCTTGATTATTATACAGAAATCATTACATCAGTTTTATAACGGTAGTATTTTTAATAAAATAAAATCTAGTTTAGTTCATCATGGATATGATGACCTCTTACTTCAATTTTTCAAACTATACGAGAGGGTGTGGGTATGAGGGTAAGGATGAGAGTTCATCTATACTTATCCCATTCACCCCCACATTCAAGTTGGATATATTTTGAAAAAATTACGAGAGAAAACTGTCATCGCTGTGAATTGTCAGACATGCGCTCACTCTTGTCTCTATATATGTCGGCAATATACAACTGCGTTTATTTAAAAAAAATCAAAGACAATGTTCACACGCACATCTTCAACTGCTATTTGAAAGAGTTTTTATCGATATTTTTTAGTTTTTGAACAGAATCGATGCTTGAATTTATCATAAGTCGGTCGTCGGGGGATGGTATTGAAGCATCTTGATCGGGCTAAGAAACCTTCTTTTTCTGTTTTTTCTACGTTAATTTCCGTTGGTGTGTCATTTGTGCGATAAGATGTTGTAAAACTGTCTGACCATAATTCTCTGAACAACTCCCTGAAGGTAGGACGGTTTATTGTGTAGTTTTTCGTAGATCGCATTATCCAGAAGTCGTTCAATGGACGAATATTATTTACTTTTAACGCTATATAAGTACCTTTCCAAACAAATACATTTGAGAAATCATCAGGAAGAGGATTATTATCATTATATAAATACATTAAAGAGTTTAACTTTCTCTGTTTTTGAATATTTTTATGAGTGGTATAGAGTTGAAGCTGCTGTACTTTAGAAAAATACATCCAACAACATTCCTTCGTTACTGTTAATGTGTGATGACGAAATCGTGAGCTATAAACAGTGGGATTAGTAAGAATAATCTTAATCAAAGAAATAATTTCGTTCACTGTTTTATAATCATGTAAATTATATGCGTTTTTACTGAGAGCAATGACGAATTCAGCAGTTGTATTTCTTGTTTCTACTAAATCAGCACGATGATATGTGACACGTCTTTCATTAGTAGTAGAAGTTGCGAGAAGTAAATCTGTTTCTTTCAAAAGAGGTAAAGGGAATGAAGTACAGCCCAAATAATCAATTAGTTGTATTGCGCCTAATATATATTTTCATGTTCTGGTAGTTCAGTGAATAAAGTATACGGTTGTTCGGAACTAATTGAATGTTGAACAGCTATAAACCAAGTATAATGAAAGGGAGGATGTAATAAATATTCACCAGTTTCATTTTGATTTGACAGAAAATTATCTTTATGCGATACAAGAACAGATAAATAAGGAATACAATCAAGTTGCTGTTTATTGAGACAAGTACATTGATTAGAATCAGTAAAACGAAATGTATACATTGTATTATCAACCTCCAATGTGTCAGTCATGTTTATTATAATAAATCTTATCAAATGCAAGGAAGAAAAAAAAGTTTATTTCGTTTCTTTTCAGAATATTGAATCATAAACATCTCGGGTTTTTTCCAAAATGAATCATCTTATATGATTATGTAAATAAAATATTTCTTAACTGATAAGTGTGGCTGGTATATTGACATTATTCTATCCCTATACCCACACTCTCAAGATAACGTTACAATATTCTTATCATATTCTCATTCACACTTTCACAAGAAACAGAAATTTTTTCAAAAACCCACTGCTTTTATCTAGTTTATGATAATATTAATGGAAAAGTGATACAGAAAAAAAAGCAAAAATATCACAGACAAAAAGATTTGAAATTTACAGCTATTATTGTTCTTCCGATTGATTCACATCGTTGGCATCAGATGGATTATTAGTCCATACCTACACATAAAAAAGAGATTCCATCTTAAAAATATCTTACCACATTAATACTTACAGTGAGATTATCTCGAAGTAATTGCATAATTATAGTGCTGTCTAAAAACGAATCGGAAAAATATTGATTTTACTATTAGTTTTCCTCTTACCTCTATAAGAATCTTCACCAATGGAATCTAATTCGGCTAAAGCATCGTCGAAGGCCTATGATGTAAGTATTTAAATGTGTAAAGAAATGAAATAGATCAAATCGAGCAAACCTGTTTAGCCATACGACAAGCAGTATCTGTATCATTGAGAATTTCATAGTAAAAAACGGAGAAATTTAGAACAAGACCAAGTCGAATTGGATGTGTTACTGGCATTTGATTTTTAGCCATATCAAAAGCATCCTTATAGGCAATTTCCGATTCTCCAGCAAATTCTAGAATTAATATCAATGTATATATTTATGTTCGAATAGAACATTTTCTATCTTACTTTGTTGTTCACTGCCAGTAGTAGCTTCAGCTAAATATCGATAATAATCACCTTTCATCTTCAAATAGACTATCTTTGATTCAGCAGTTGTAGCTTTTGGAATGAGATATTTATCAAGTAACATCTAAATTGATAAATTTTTATTTCGAAAACGATTCTTAATTGAATAAATCCTACAAAAAGCTCTTGACATGTATCTTTCAGTTCATTTTCAATCTTTTCTCGATATTTCTTAGCCATTTCTCGTTGATGTTCGGTACCACCGCCTTTCTGTTCAATGCTAGATATAGTTCGCCAAGGTAATCGACAAGCGCCAACTGCATATTTGTAGGCAATTGAGAGCAAATTGCGTTCTTCAGTCGTCAATTCATCATTCAATTCAACAACTTTTTTCATAGCAACTACCATATCAGGATATCTAAATCAATATTTACATTTCCAGATCAACTATATTTACTAAGAAAACAAATACTGTACCGTTCAGCTTGTTCAGCTAATTTCGCTAGTTGTACTTGTTCATCCTTGTTTGTCATTATTCGATATAGTTTATCGTGATCAGTGCGATTGATGACTAGAATAAAAATTATGTAAAATAGGTTCTTATCGCAAATTGATCAGTGAAGACTTACCTTAGCAATATAAATATGTTACTACTAATTGAAAGAAGTGCTCGAGTATTTATACACTTCTTTTCAGATACATTCTTTCTTTTTTGCGTTCTAATTTCATAACGAATATTTAAATATGACGTCATACATTATCGAATAAGGAAACTTATGCTAAGTATCGTACAAAAGGAAGGTGAGTATTTGATTAGTCATCCATATGTGCAGAACGAACATCGGACGGAGCGCAAAGTTTATTATGCGACGCAGCGTCATTACTTAGTAACCAGTTACGATAGATTTTATTTCAATATGTATTCAAAAGAGGGCGACAGTGTAACATGTTTTTATGATTAAATATACTATTTCAGAAAGATAACTATCATAAAAAGTTCGCTCTTTTTAATATGAATCATTCATGATACATAAGTCAAACCTAATATGTAGCAGTAGTTTTAAATGAAAACTAAGTAAAAAATTTCAATTTCTCTAGGTAATTTACTCAACACAAGTTTAAGTAAGGGCGTGGAGGTGCAAGGTGAATGATCAAGATAGTACATACATTCATACTTATACCCTCACACTCACACATGTAGTTCTGAGTTGATGATATTGATTTAATACAATCTAAAATGTATGTTTAAATATTAATACAATTATTTCGAGCGCTCAGTTATATATAAAACTATAGATAGTGGATAACTTCTAATTTTTATTAGGGGAAGTCAAAGGATGTGTATAAGGTGAATATATACTGCCTGTGACTTCCCCATAGCTTCACTCGAAATCAGTTTATTCACCCTTGATTTTTGACTATGTTTGAGATTTATTTGAATAAATAATTTATGGCTTACAATCACATTTCTTATCTGATTTTTATATTAAGATGTTGTACAATAGATTATTTCTTATTGCGGATAATTAAAATGTCTTTCTTAATATTTATTATGCTTCACGATAAGAATTTCGTCGAAAAATAGATGTAAATTACAAATGTATAAATAGGTAGGAATATGAGTATTAGTCGATCATGAAAATCATTGCAATGAAGAATACAGTTCGAATGTACTATTATTTTCTATTTATGTTTTTAATTTTAAAATGTAATGGAAATCCAAATTTACCAATGAATACAATTCAAATTCCTTCAAATCGAATGTATAATAATTTTATTCGATCTGAAAGATATCATGTTAAACGGCAGCTTCAAGATCAGTTTATAATTCAAGGTCCATCCGAAACTTTTGTTAAAATACCTGGTCTAACAATGCCTTTCCAGCATACAGAACCATTATTATATAAAATTAAATTTGAAGGAAGATGTTTTCACCTCATTCTAACTCAACTTGGTTATATTTACGTTTTATGATTAATCATAATTTGCTTTATGCAAATAAATTTCTACCAAATACAGCTAATCGATATCAATATATTGCCGGATATAGCTCAAATGACGGTATTGACTATATTGATGGTTTTTATTGGCATGCAACTTCACCGACAATGATACAATGTTCATTTAGTGATATTATTTATTTAAATCCTGGTTTACATGTCATTGATGTAGCTGTTAGAGGTGGGCTTGATGATGTTCATGGTGCTTTTCCAACCTATGTTCATTATGGAGCTTTAACAATTGAATTAGTTGAATATGATTTGAACGCAGATATTGGTATAAAACCGATCAATGCTAATTTAATACCGGATTCTATCAGATAATTCATTCGAAAACTAATTCATAAAATGTTTTTTTATTACTCACGAAATATTCATAATTTTCAAATAAACAAAAGAGAATTATTCATATGACTCTCAAGTTGCTAAAAAATAGTGATCTAAATTTACTATGTAATTCTGAAAGTACGAATGACGTCAACTAATTGTATTGTATCACAACTATGATTTCATTGATCAACAGTTGTCAAATACAGCCACATTCGTGATATTCGCTTGTTGTAATTCTTTTCTATCTGAACAAATCAATCGTTTAATGAATTAGTATGCTATTAATTAAAAATTTGAATACCAAATGACTCATAGAAGAATATTCAAAGTATTTTTCAAAGAATTAAAAAACATTTCTGTATACTGGTTAAAATAAATATCATATCACGAGTATTCATATATATTAGCAATGAATAAAAAAATATTCTATATCAAAAATATGAAGAGATACTATAAAATACTAATACATTCATAAAGTAAAGAAGCCCACTTTATTTCTCTTGTCTACAGATCAGCACGCTGTCGTAGACGAAATAAAATGATCAGTAAAACAATAGCAAATGAAATAGATGCTGCATCAATTATAAGTAAAATGAGAGCATATTCAAAATAAAAATTTATTCCAGCAGTTCAAGATTGTTTGAGATCATTATGATAGCGATTCTCATATCATTCCTTGACTGTGATTGTAATGATTTTTGAAGAGAAATAATTGATAGCTAGAGTGGTTACGCTTTCAATTTTCTCTGAATATCAAGTTTTCGGAACAAAAGAAGTGGATGCAGACTTTATCCGTGCTATTATAATCATGCAAGTTAATGAATATTGTTCAAATGGATACAATTGATAAATTCAAAAATGAAAAAAGAAAGATTTAGATTTTCAAATTCAAGCAATAAGAAATACCGATGCATGATGTTTCACTGGTCTAATTACAGGTGGTGATCAATATGATAATCACATAAGATGTATACATACACACTTGCTACATACCTTATATTGCTAATTCAACGTACCAGACTGCTGCATAAGATTTTTCATATCGTACAGCTTTCGTAGCTCGCCGATAGAACACGACAGGAATCCTTTGTATAGAATTGTACTTTAGAGCGCTCTTGAAGATAGAGCGGACCACCAACTACTAAACAGACAATGGCAACAGCACCGAAAACACATCCAAAACCAAGTACAATCTTTGCTAATTGAGGTCTGGAACAGGATTCTGCCATACACAAAAAATAATCTGGAAAAGCAGAATTGTAATAAGATGACGAATCATTTTAATGAATCTGAAATGACTGCTATTTAAATAGACTTTTAATCTATCGACCGCTTTGATCGCATAGAGATTCTGCAGAAGTTCGAACACATTTACCTTGATATGAAACAAGCCATGCTTCTATAGTCGAATAAGATTTTATACGATATGAACTAAAAACGGTTTAATATCTATTGAGCGCTTCACAAGACTTCTACAGTTGGACTTATCAAGTTATTTCAAAGATAGATAATCTTAATGAACTTCACTTGCATGCACAATGCTTATGTCAAAAAGAAAATGACATATATTTCTATTAATTACATAAATCATGAAACCTGTCAATGTAAAGGTCACTCTACTTTCGAAATGTCGAGTAAAATAAAATATTTCTGAATATTATTCTTCAGATATTCCAAGGATAGATTTGTATATTCATTTCAAACGACTTCGTTGAATATATTTTGGTTATAAATAAATAATAACTACTTTTGTTATGTTTGACATGATTTAATCAGTATAGTGTCAATGTACTTTTTCTTTAAGTATTTGAACAAGAGAAATCTATATTCTATTCTCTTTACAAAAAAATATAAAAATGAATCAATTTTATAGTATATTAATTTTAAAACAACAAACGATCGAACAGTTATTATAAATTCTATTATTTTACTTTCTTCTTTTAACAAAATTTCAACAAGACCTACTTCTTCACATCATTATAACTGTATATTATGTGGTATATATTCGTCTGTCTATTTCTTTTTTGTTCAATCAAAACAAATTCAAGCACTATATATAATATTCCAATAATTCATAATGCTTCTTTACAAGTATTAAACTATAGTTCTACGACAATGATTGGCACTTGTGAAACATGTCTTTGTGCAATGTTATTGAACAGAACACAGATATCTTCTTTCAATTGTTTTTACAATAATTTTACATGTGAATTATTTTCCGAAAATTTCACTATCAATTCATTCTCATTGGTGGATAATTTAGCAAGTTCAGTTTACTTTCTTTCAATACCCAATATTAATGTAACATCGACAGTAACTTCTACTACACAGAATACCAATAGTTTGACGAGTAAGTCGAGTCTTAGATTAATATCCGTGCAATAAAATTTTTCTTTACTTAGGTACAAGTTCATCATACATTGTAAGCCTTCCCTTCGTTACAAATACATGGAATTGCATCAATGCTAGTTCAGTCAACATTCCTAACAACAACACGGCATTATATTTTAAAAAAAATATAACGAACAGTGCTTCGAATATGGGTAATATTACAGTTTATCTCGAGTCGAATGTTGTTTTAACAATCAGCAATGCCCAAAATATTCTGATCTTCGTTCAATCAGGTGGAATCGTTCAAATTTCAAATTGTCATGATATGTTAGTATATCTCGAATCAACAGCAAAGTTAACGATTAGTAATGGTGGAAATATCATAGCATATATGAAGTCAAATGCTACGTTTACCGCTGATAATATTAAAAATGTTACTATCTATTATGAAAATGGCGCTACTGGAAGTATCACACACAGTACCAATGAAACAACCATTCTATGTCCTTCAATAACATTTAGTTATCCAAATACTTCATCTATTCACTGTTAACAATTATCTAAGAAAAACTTCAATAAAATCAAAAGCTGAAATTATTCTTAAGTATGATTTCCAAAAGTTTCTAAAACACCTTTTGTTTCCATTTCATCAAAAAACGAGCAATTTCTATTCCATGTTACAGATGAGAAGTTATGATCAGGTGTGAAATAAAAATATTGTGGCATAGATGGATCATATATCGGCCATTGATTTAATGGTAATCCGGTTGTAGCTATATTGATCCAATGTGAAATAATTCCGTTAGAAAATATTCTTGATTGATTGTTCCATTTACAATGAATTTCTCTATGTGAATCAGCATCACTGACCGTTCCGAATATAAATGGAAGTTCTGATGAATGTCTACAAATACCTTCGTCTGTAACTAAAGGACATCGTGGATAACAATTTAAATGATAAGAAAATAATTTCTTTTTTTCATCTTGTCGATCATATGTTCGATAAAAAGCATTGAATATTCGACGAATATCACAATCATAAATTTTATCCATTAATATTAAACGAACAATATTACAACAACGAGTTATATTAGCACTTCGTTCTGATGAACAATTATTTAAATGATAATAATCTACAATTATTTGTATCCATTTTTGTTCTATAGATTGAGATAATAATGCAATAGCTTCTTTAAAATTCATAAAAGGATGTTGATGACAAATTGGTTGTTCATAATCATTATTACCCATAATAAGACTGACATTATTATATGTACCATTTTGAATTGCTAATGGAGGATATAATGGAAAAAAATAATTGTCAATTATTGGTTTTGTATATCGATTATCATAGGCTTTCAATAGATCTTTAAATGAAGTATTACGTAAACATGAAAGAGTTTTTTGTTTATCTTCATTAGCACAATGTAATCGTTGAACAATAGAGTTCGAATAACTAAGAGCATTATTCATATTGTAATAAGATGAATAAGTTCCAGGAGAACCTAAACCTGATTGACTTATAGCCGTTTGATAAAGATTGACGAAATCTTTTACTGCACCAAGATCAATAACTGAAAGTGCTCCAGCACTTTGACCAAATAATGAAACATGACTTGCATTACCACCATAATCCACAATATTTTTCTTTATCCAACGTAATGCAGATAACATATCTAGATACATATAATTACCTGCTGTTGGCCATTCTGAATCTTCTTCAATTAATTCTTTTAAATACATATCTGCTAATACTCCTAATCGATAATTGATTGTAATAATAATAACTGGTTGATCTTGTGGTGAATGAGCAATCATATTTGTACCATTATATATCAATGGAATACTTTGTGATGAACATCCATGATTATGTGCACCACCATGAATCCAAACAAGTACGGGTAATAATGAATGATTTGCTGGCATTATTGGTTTAAAAATATTTAAATAGAGACATTGTTCATCTTGTTTTGGAATGTATGCACTTGTTTTTGGTTGTGGACAGCATGGACCAAATGATGTTGCTTGAAATGAACCATTTGGAAACATTTCCATTCCAAGATCAATCGGTAGTTTCCATCGAATAACTTTTGCATATTGTATTCTATACAAACATATGTATTGTTTCTAATCGTTCAATTTTCTTTTACCCTAAATATTCAGTTGAATATTGAGTTTGTCGACCATAAACCACTCCTAGTTGTGTTCGAAGACCAGGATTAGCAGTTGACTTGTTTATTATAATTATTAGTAGAATATAAAATAGTAAGCAAAATTGAATCATCTAAATAATAGAGTCGATATACTGATCTTACGAGAATGTTATCATTTATCGTCAAACATTTTAAGCTCTCTTCTTTTTTTTTTTTATTTCTTTGTTATCATCACATGATATTATCTTATAAGCAACAGCACAGATGCATATTTGCTTTTGATGTTGTCTAGAGAAAGAATCGGAGTGTGCGCGTCAAACGCAACTAGTAATAACTGAACATGCTCTAGAGACAATGATGATCCAGTTTTAGCTCGATATCAAGCGCAGTATATCTCACTGAGAATTATAATTATATAGGTAATTTCAGTAAAAAACCTGCGAATGTGAATGGATGATATACTAATGTTAGTAAATTAGAATTTGTGACTAAATGATATTTGTATGCGTTCAAGAGCACGAAGACAAATAACATCAAATATTATTCATTCTGTTAAATTGTTATTTTAAGTGGAAGCCACGTAGAAGAAGCAAGAATTTATCCGAAGTGATCATGTTGACTTATTATTGTATGGTGGAAGCACGAGAACGTGGCATATCTTTCTTCGCTTGTGAAATATTTTTCAATTTTGAAGGCAGTCGTTTCAAGTTAGATTTTAATTACAATCATTCATATATTTGCTACATTGATAGAACGATCGATCCAATAATAGTATCATTTATAGATATGTAAGACACGTGTGATAGGATTCATCAGTGGGTTTAGTATTGGATTTATATTATATAGTGAAACAGATGATAGAACCACACTGACGACTGTAGTTACATCTATCAAGGACAAATATATTCTCGTTTTGATCATTCAAAATTATACAATCATCATTATGTTGATTCTAGTGAATGAATTTATATTTATTCAGATAAACATTTTTTAAATTAATTTAAACAAAATAAAAGAAATATGATCAAGTCATTCAGACGCCAAGGAAAAAGTCAGCACTGGTTAAATTTCCAGTACCAAGATACTGAGCCCACATCGCAATTTTGTATAGATGACCAATCTGAGTTGAAAATGATTGACTAATATAATCAGCAGCTGTAAGGCTTCCACCCAAATAGTAATAGATACCTGACCTAGGATAATAAGTAAAACTTCCAGAGGTGTAATTGGATTGGACACCATCAGTAATTGTTTCATTATTTTGATTACAATATATCCAAGATGACAAATTACCTGTTTCAAAACCTGGATTACTAAGCAGTTCAATACTTGGTGCTGCATAATCTCGTACAGAAACATCATCCAGAGTAAAATAGGCAGTTTGTCTCCGAAAAGCAAATACAATACGAGTTGCGTTCGCAACCGCTGTATAATTATAAATATATTGATGATAACTATAAGCAGGACAAGGATAACAATTAGCTACTATTGCAATATTAGCCAACGCTGCTGTACAAATATTGGACGTAACGGCTAATAGAAAAGTTACATCAAATTTTAGTTTCTTTTATTTTCAAAACTACATACTGATAGCTGTTGTACTGCTTGTTGTAGCTTGACATATAAATAAATTCCTATATATGATTCTCATAATATAAATTTAACTTACTTGAACTACTACTGGAACTTGTTGAACTCGTCGATGCTATAGAAAGAAATTTGTGTATTGATTATTATAAAATACGGGTTGAAATTAAGGTAAATTTCGTTAAAATCTGATCCTAATGCTAGTACTCTTAATGATTATATATATCAAAAGTTCACTCACTAGTGGCTGTTGTAGTTGTCATATTATTTGATGAAGTCGTGGCTGATTGATTTAAAACGAACATTAAAATTAAAAGATACATGTAGAAATGGTTGTAGAAAAACAACTCTTACCTATTGTCGTAGTCATCGCTTTTGTGAGTGTAATTACTGTAGCCGGTATTACTGCAATGGTGATAAGAATTAATGATATAACGATGGCCAGTGCTATCAGAGTACGAGGCGAACATGACGGACAAAATTTACGCTTTTTTTTATTTTCTATTTGTGTTCGTTCAATGGTAAATAGTTGTCGTCGATCACCTAAACTAAATCGTGATTGTTTTGTTGTTGAAACAGAACTAAGATTGGAACTGATTGTTGATCGTAATAGATCATAATTGTTCGATGGTACTACCTATTGAAATAAAAATAAGTACAATTGATTAAATCATTAAAATGTATTTTCGCATGTTTTACCTTTGATGAAAATCTATTTGGTAGGATTGATTGACGAGCTACTATATCCTATAAATGGAGGAGACAAATAATAGCTATATTATTTATATCCTTTTTCTACCAATGGAGATATTAATGGGACTGCGGAGTTAGTCATAGTTGAATGTAAAATTTGAGGTTGATTAACATCATTCTTGACTCCTTGTTTTATATTCACATCAGCTATTGACATGTTAATTTTGCTCACACTTGGAACACTTTGTCGATTTGTTCTACATGATCCATTCAAACGTGATTTGATTCGTGTAACTCGAACTACATTTGAAACTCTTCCTTTCTAATAAAACAATAGTGATCGCATGGAAAATGCAAACTAATAAATACCTTAGAATGATGTGTAATTGAATGACGTCGATGCTTTCTTACTTTGGTTACTAAAACTTTCGGAAGAGGTGGCATATCTACGTCGTTTTTATCTTGTATTATTAAAAATATATACTCAAGATTATTCTAAAATAGTTTATATCATTGCATTTTATAGTCAAAAGTTGATTAGATTAAAATTTATTGTTCTGCCTCTTGTTTATTCACCTGATATTTAGCTGGCTTTTTCATAATTAAAAAAATCGTTCGATGATGTTGAAAAAAGATTGTTATTCATATTTATTTACAAAGACAGTTGTAGTGATTTTTTATATACAAAAAAAATCTCTAATTATTTTTTATTGTTAAAAAATGTAAATATAAAAAAGGATGGTTCGATATATATAATTATGTTACATTCACATGATGCCATTAGTGTCAGATCTATAATAGTAATTTGTGAGATAAGAGCTTAATTGAAAATCTATTTTATTGTCAAATTCATTCAATCTTTATTTTTCTTTTTCGTTCTATATTATGATGTATGTCGTCAATTTGACATATTTTATTCTTACAGGCTTCCTTACAGAATCTTATAAACTGAGAGTTTTCCATCGTCAGCACGATCAAAGAATTTTTTATAGATCAGTATCTTTTTCAGAGCCGAATTTATTTATTTCATCACTAGTTAACTTCTGAATTATTTAGAATTGAATCAAAATCTTCTTTTAAGGCTTCTAAAACTTGATTTTGACATTCTGAAAAAAAATAATGATGTCCAGGAAACATTCGAACACGAAATAATTCTTTCTTTGTTGTTAATTCACTCCATCTAGATAAATTAAATAAAAATAATTTTATTTAATACTATAATTTCTTTTACCTATTCAAAACTTCTTCTGTACGTTTTTCTTCTTTGTCTCCTCCATAAACAATAATTGGAATATTTATTGGATTTGATGGTAGTATTGCATTGCCAGCCTGAAATAACAAGAAAAAATGTTCATAGTTTTATATAGAATTTTCATTCAATTTATACCTTTGCATCAGCTCTTAATATCGATAGTTGCATATCAACAAACGGTTTAAAATTAAATAGATCTTTCGCTTTAGGATCTATTATTTTATATTGAGAAAATATATTTAATGAAATAAAAATGAATTATAATACCTGCCGATTGTTTTAAAATATCAATAAGTTCTTTGTCAGTCTTTATATAAAAATTTTCAGGGTCTAAAATTAAGTATTTTCAAAAAAACAAACAGAATTTATTTTTAGTAATGAATACTAACCTTCTAAATGAGGTGGTACTCTTGCCATTGCAATTAACAATTTAATCAAATCTGCTTTTGTTCCTGTTTCAATCATATTTCTAGCTAATGCAAAACTACTCATAGTTCCACCACTAAAAGACAATATATACGCAAAATAGAGAGTATGTTATTAGAATTGTATACCTATGTCCAATGAATATACATGGTTTAGTTATAGATGGAAGAAGTTCTCTTTTCATATGAGTAATATAATCCGGTACACTTGTTATACATTTTTCAGCTAATCTTGTTCCTCTTCCAGGATAGATAAGTAATGCGAATTCATAGTCAGGAAAATTTTCTCCCCAATCTTTGTAGTATGGACCTGAATTTTTTTTTTTACAAAAAAAATATTAATAAAATCTAAAAACTATTCGAAGAAATACCTGGACTACCAGCTCCGGGAAATATAAATACTTGATATTTAGCTAATGGACGTGGATGAAGAATTTGAAACCAGCGATTATCGTTATTAGAACTATTTGCCATTTTAGTTTCTTCTCGATAAATATCTAAAAGAAAAATATAATAAATCCGTGCAAAATAATATTATAGGTAATTATCGATCATGCATAACATACAAACAATATATCAAACATGTGCATTAAGGATATTACACTGAATCACGAGTTACGTATTTTTCTATACACTATACTACGCTTCATCTGTTGAGAATGTAATATATATGTTCTACATTAAAAAGAATATCGTTGACGAGTATAATTATTATTCGTACTCGCGTCTTCATGCAGATAAACGAATTATTAAATAATATATTTGTACCAATTGCTTATGAACGATTCCAGTAGGAAATAATAACTCCATAATAATTAATAGAGTAATAGACGATTATATCATTGATATTTTTATTGATCCAAAACTTCGAAATAATTTAAACAATCTCGTTCGGTCTAGAGGTCAAATGAATTCGTATATTATATGGATTGTAAGTCAAAGTTGATTCGATACTTAAGAGAGAAAAAGACATATTTATGAACAAGATCATTTAAGCGTGTCGAATTTGTTCTTGTTTTTCTCATATTACAATGAATAAAGAAATGAATATATTATGAAGCAAGAAATTTCTTGATATACAAAGTATACCTGAAATTAATAAGGAAATTAAATTAAACTAGAGTCTTAATCAACTTCTGAATTTTATTTCCTCAATACTTCTACAACAGAGGTCAGTATCAATCACAAACAATGGCCGCGTTTTAACCAATTAATATTATAAAGATTTTTTGAACAATATCAAGGTCATATATGAAACATTCTGCATCAATAAAAGAGTTATTTTCAACAAATCAAACATTGAAATATTTTTGAACTTTTCAAAACTTATATTTGAATCAATTTCTTTCTCGTAATATAAAAATAAGATGATGTGCAGAGGTGCCAAATCTGCCAGTGTACGCCAACACGCGTTGGGGGAAATTTTTGAAAAGAATGAAATGATTTAACAAATCAAAAAATAAATGAAATACAACGAAAATCTTCTAATGATAATTAGTCCAATAGAAATCAAATGCTTAGTCTTTCTCTAACTCGTTTTATAATATATATTTTGTATGTGTATGCCAGTAGTTGTTATGTATTTTGAGTTTTGTGATAAAACAAAATAAAGCGTCTTAACATAGTAATATATTCTTTGAGAAATCAAACTTTGCTGATTTTCAATTATTTTATACGATAAATATTTTTCAAATTTGTATATAGTGAGGGTTGTGAGTATGTGCGCGTGAGTAAAGATGCTGAAAATATAGTCATTTTTCATCCACACCCTCACCCATCAATTTGAATCGGAGATGTTCATCATGATTCACAACTCGTTGCTGCTGGATGGGTTGCAAAGAATGTTAGATAGGGTGTAGGTGTGGGTGTGCGTGTGGGTGGGTCTCAGTATGGATGTGGGTATAGTCAAA